TGAGGAGTAGTGACGGATAGAAGCCGTCACACACCCCTCCGCCGCGATACGAGTGCATCGGCACGAGCAAGGACAATGATAGTGATTAATAAGATAATAGAGTAACGAATTGAAAAAAAACACAAGCGACAACTAATTTGATAGTTAGTGAATTAGAAGATGAGCGACAACGTATAACATTGTATGAACTATTATGTGTTTGATTAGATATATGAGAAAAAATAACAACGCCGAATTGAAACAAATGTAGAAATGAACAACAAACATCATGAAAGAGAAAAAAAATGAAATGAAGAGGAGAAAAACACCAAACGAGTTGTCCTTCTTTAAAAGAACGTTTAGAACTAAGACAGTCACACTGATGTTTCTGCTGAAGTTTGCGTACTTCACTATGTTCTTGAGCAATTTGATGAGATGTAAGTAATTGATGACGAAGTTGTTGTTTATAATTTTCGATTTCTGAGGATAGAGATGTGGAAAGTAGAGGTACATCATAAGTCGGTGTGGTTAGGAGTAGGTCTAGAGGTAATTTAGGATCACGTCCAAAATTAAGATGTGCTGGTGTATCACCTGTTGCTTCATTTAATGAAGTTCGAATAGAAAAAGCAAGTTTCAATAAATGTTGACCCCATGATTGTGGATTTTCTTGAGCATATTGTGCTAACATTGGTTTAAGATTTCTATTGACTCGTTCAGTCATATTTGTCTGCGGATGATAATTATAAGTATTTTTATTTTTAATGCCTAGGGAGGAACAGATATTAGTGAATAGTGCAGAAATGAACTGGGGACCATTATCGGAAAGAATATAGGTAGGACAACCCCAGCGACATATAATTTCATTAACTAGGATATTAGCGATATCAGATGAAGTCGTTGTTCTAAGAGGAAATAGTTCTACCCATCGAGTGAAATACTCAACAACTACAAGTAAGTATTGTTTTTGACGTTGTGTAATAGGAAACGGTCCCATGATATACACTCCAATAGTATGCCATGGTTATCGAACGATGTGCATTTGTAATGGAGAGTTCATTATTTGATTAGAATATTTGAATTTCTGACATGACTGACAACTTTGAATATACTGAGTGACATCTTTTCGCATAGTATCCCAGTAGACTCGGCTTGAGAGACGATAAAGAGCTTTTTCTCTACCACTATGCCCGGCTGTCGGATGATCATGTGTCCAGGATAGAAGTTCTTGTTGCATAGATTTCGGAATAACGAGTAAGTGAGGAAGTCCGACTGATCGTTGATAGATATTTTTTATTGAGATCGACATTTATAGAGAATACCGTTAATTAGAGTAAAAGAGGGATAGGGATTATTAATGAAAGGATGACTGAGACCTGATAATTTATCAATGATAATATGAAGGTGAGGATCTTTATATTGTTCGATTCGGATATTTTCGAGAAGAGTACAATTGTCCCAAAAATTGAGTGTAGATGTACAATATGTAAAAAAATGA